GGTAAAAAAAATGCTTATGCCATTTCTGCTTTTCCATTTAATGAGCTTGGGGAATATTGGGGTAGGAACTTCCCAGCATTCCCACAAGGCTAACTATTCCTTTAACAGCGAGAGAGAGAGAAGTGAGCTTTATGGTCAGTGGACAGCATGCAAATCATATATAACATATGAGTTACAGTGAAGGAAAGATCACAGTCTAGTCAGGCCTGATTTCACATTCAAATAAAATTAGAATTGACCGATGCAAACATGACAGATTTACTAATGTTTTAGCATATTTTTATTCATTTATTTATTTTTGTTGATACACTTTAAAAGACACAGAACTACACATGTATATGTTACATGATAAACACTAGAAGAACGTGTAGTAGAGACTAAAATACAGATAATTTATGACTAATTTCTATCAGGCCTATGTCAAATAGATTTTGCTGTGTATAGAATTTTTATTACACTTATCAAAGTATTGTGTTACCTAAAAATGGAGACAAAGTACAATAAGATCAAATACAACAATCTTTAACAAATGCTTTTATTTATTATTAATATTATTCACAACAGACTATTTTGACAGTAGGCTTTTAATAAAGACTTAAATATGGCTTTGAACGTCGCTCAGCCAATCAGATTTCAGAATTGGAGCTATCATCAATACGAAGTTATGAGTAATGATACAGCCAATACTAATACTATCACAGCATAATTAAATGTAAGAAATGTACAATAAAGCACTTTTAAATAGTAAAATATATCATTATTGTGCAGTTTTTTGTTGTAGTTGGCTGACTGATGTAATCTGATAGTAAATCTAATTTAGCTGCAGATCAGACTCGTGCTGAGCAATCAGGGTTAATGTAATGTAGGGGTAGGAATCTCTAGGCACCTCATGATTCGATTCGATTACGATTCAGAGGGCTGCGATGTGATTATAAAACGATTATCGATGCATCTTTTTTTTCTATACAGGATTTCTATTTTCTCACGGTCTGAGGACTTGATACTTTTAAAGCAAAGTATTTGTAATGATCCGTAATGAATTTACTTCCAGTATCTTTTATTAATAAATCAAATGGAAGTGATGTGGCAAGTGAACCAGAAGGCTCTCATTCACTGCTTTTGTTTGGAGCACGAGAAGCTACCTATCTGCGATAAATGCGCTGTTAGGGTGAAATAAGATCCAGTGGTGATGGATGTCCACGCAGCACATGTTACAGCGAGTGGGGGGATCGCTGTGTCAGTAAAATATCATCGAGACGGGACGTGTGCAACACAGTGTGAAAGCCCTGGTTCTCAACGACTGAGAACTGGCATGCAGACTGCTGGTCACATAGCAACGCAGTCTAGTAGCTAACGAAAAGGCAAAGAGAGAGATTTAAGACGAACATTTGGAGACGAATGGACTTCAGTTGCAGTTGGTTTCCGGGTATATTAAATCTGCAATGATAGACTGTCAAACACTAAAAGTTGTAAAGATGAAGTCGGTTCTCTTTCGAATTTTCCCGTTCCACCTTAATTGGTGCCACATTTACATTCAGCGCCTCAAGCAGAATTTAAGGTGGAACGGGAAAATTCGAACAAGAAGCTGACGAATGAGAAGCGACTTCAGCCTCTAAAAGCAGTCGAACGTTGAGAGACATTTTACAATAAGCTGCTCTACTTCTGAGGAAAAGTTTTCTGGCGGAGATAGGAGGAAAGCAGCTATAGCTGAGCTAAAGCTTAAAGCAGAGCAAAGTAAGTCTGTGTTTTTGTTTATATTTTCTAGCCTATACTAATACATCAGCACATACTGAGACATACTGGACATTAAATGTTGTGGCTCCCAAGGTGGTTTGATTTTTGTTGAAAGGACAAAATGGCTCTTCTTATCATTTGTGTTGTGACTCCTGATCTAACCTGGCTTTTAATGCAGAGGGAGCCGGTCAGATTTCTCACTCATCCAGCAGTGTTTGCCGCCACAGACTGTCTGGGCGCTGCACTTCTGCACTTCCAAGTTCCACCTTTTGCGTTCCGTCAACAACTTTTGGCCCTTATGTGTATCTTCTTCAGAGCAGAGCTTTCCGATTATGTGGCCACTCAAGCACAAAGGGCCTATAGTACACATTTAGCAATTGAATTAGGTCTGAAATGACGTTGCAAAAAAAATATTTGAATGTGTTTTCATTTCAGCTCGAATAAAGAGTATTCAAGGACTATTCTCTAGCATTTGCAGATCACTGTCTCTGCCACATGCACTATACCAAAAGTAAAAATATGAGTGGAGCTTTATGCTCTGCAGAGCTGCGTATTACTGTGCTGTGTTACTTATTATAACTTGTTAATAATTTCCCTTTTCACTCTTTTATTGGACTGTTGGATAAAACACATAAAATGTGTCCTTGGAGGATATTTGGCAGGATGAGGATGGGGTTTGACGTTGGCTATGGGTTAGAATGAGGATACTGAGGAGAAAGGATTGTGTTCCTTGAGGAAGGAAGGATGTTTTTAAGGATGTTTTCCTGTTTTAAACTTTGGGTTTATTATTGAGATATTCTTGCCTCTAAGGTTATCATTCAGTGCATAATGATGAATGAATGTCAAACATACTATGAAAACAATATGTAGTTATGAGGTTGAAGAATGGAGGGAGTTTTAAGGAATTCCCAATTGAATAACACAGCAAAGACTTATTCCGAACTTATTCTAAACATAGATGGTCAGTTACTCAGTACCAAATATCATAAACCCTTTAATGTTAAATGAAGGATCAATTTTAGAGCTTCTCAAGCTTAGAAATTCTGCATGAAGCCTGGACCCTAATGTAGCACACTTGCTGGTATGTGCTGCTAGCACTTAGAAGAAGTGTCATGAGGATATGTGACAGGCAGGTGGTGCAGCTGACATTGGCTGTGCATCAAGTGGGCGCTCACTTTGTAGTTCATTTAAAGCTTTTGTTGAATTGGTGTAGAGAAAATATTAGACATTAAACTAAAGCAACATCTATGGAGAAGGACTTTGCTTTTCCTTGTAAAAACTGACATTTTGGGAAAAAGAAGGAATTTTAAAGGATAAAAATCTGGACAGGAATGACTGTGAAATGAAACATTTTAAAAGTCATAAATCCATCAAAACTGGGTGCTACAATGGTTATATAAATCATTCTACCAAATTGGTTCAAAGTCAGACTTCAAAACATATTTTGGACTTTTAACCCCTTAAAATCCCAGGTTTATTGCACACTAAAGCTTAGTATTCAGTAACTACACAGGCTTTAAGGCAAACTAGCTGAACTTTTCTTAGGCTATAGAAAAGTGTAATAACACTTTGAGTTAACTGATTTAGACTTTAGACCTTTTTCTTTGAGTGACCCTATGCATTAACCATGTAGTTTTATTGAAACATATGATTGATTATTCAATTTTGTCACTGCTAAAACAATCTTAACACCACCAAAACTTTAACTTTTTTTTTCAGCAGAACTTAAAAATGCTAACCAGTACAGATGTGCTTACAGTGCTCACTGCTGGGGCTTGTAGGCCATAAAAGTAGCCAATCACAGGTTCACTTAGCCCCCCTCCCCACTCAATTGTTTTACATCTAGTAGGATACTGATTTGTGCTAATTTGCACCATAGCCCTGATGTTATATTACTTTTTGTTAAGTTTTATTTGTGTTTTTTCATGTATTTCCTAGCCGTGTTTCCCAGTGAGCCTTGTTAGTTCTTAATTATGTCATCATTTCTGATTTTTGACCTTAGCCTGTCCTTGCATGTTGATTATTGAACTGACTGCTTTATTCCTGGCTGCCTGCGTTTTACCAAAATACAAAAACAGCCGACTCATTCATGAACAATAAATCATTAGGATGAAGGCAACTTCCAAAATGCAGTCTAGTCCCGTGTCAAGTCTTATCTCAAAAAAAGGCTAGTCCCAAGGTAATGGGAATATTTTAAATAGTATTATGTTAAAAGCCTTGCAAATCTCACAAACCCAATTCCAAAAACGTTGGGACAATTAATAAGTACAAATAAAAACAGAAAGCAGTGATTTATAAATTTACTTTGACCTGTATTTGTAAAAAAAAAGTGAGGACAAGTTCATGATCCAGGAAAGGTCTAGTCATTTATGAGCATAGATGGGTCGAGGCTTGCCACTTTGCCGAAAATGCACCTGCAAAAAACCCAAGAATTTAAACATATTTATTAAAAGTAATTTTCCTCAATAAGTGATTGCAAGGATTTTAGGTATTTCATGCTTTACACAGCACAATATCATCACAAGGTTCATGGAATTTGGATAAATCTCTGCATAAAAAGCAAGACCAAAAACCACAACTGAATGCCTTCGATCTTCAACCCCTCAGACATCACTGCAGTATAAACTGTCATGCTTCTGTGATGGATATCACCACATGAGGACAGGAATACTTTGACAAACTGTTGTCAACTGTTGTCACCGCTGCAACCACAAATGCAGGTTAAGATCGTACTATTCATAACAGATATCATGTCAATGGTGTCAGAAACACTGCCGACTTCTCTGGGCTAAAGCTCATCTGATGCACTCAAATCTACATTGAAAAAAGGAACGAGCTGCAGATGTGTGGGATAATGAATGGGCAATGCTAGAGTGGGTCAATCTCAGTTAATGCCCTATCTCAATTAGCTGTCATACAAGTAGGATAAAAGTTACAATTGATATGAATCCAGTCTGCTGTCAAGAAGTCAAGGTTGTTCGTTTTACGTAACACAAAACAGGAACTTACAAACACTTTCATTGAAGCATTTCAGCTCAAATGCAGACACATCAGCACACAGAACCTGGCTAAAGTAAACTGAAACACTAGACACAGGGGTCAGAACAGCACATGCCTGAGGAAGATAACGACACAGTTGACACAGAGAGGAGTGAGAAAAGACAAGACACATTTTAATAGCTTTAAAGGGTGAATCACAGTTATGGGAGGTTCTGAAAAGCCTCCAAGAAGCCACACCTCCTTAAATAAATTTGTATCTGATCCAGCCCGGCTTTCATCACATTTCATTACATCAAACTCTCACATCCACCAACAATGAGGCTGCAAGTCACCCTGCTGCTCGTCTGCATGCTTTTCCCAGAAGGTATGGAACTAAACTCATAGTACAGTTAGATGCATTTAATTAATTTGAATAAATTAGTTAAAAATTAAATTACTTAAAAATAAAATGTTAAAGTGTGAGGATGTCAGTGAATGCTGCTTGAATGTCTTATAGAATTTTAATTTATTTGTCATGTGTCATTTATGAAACACTGTCTAAGCTTTGTGGTAAAACCGAGCAAAACAGTGAGCAGGATTTGTAGTGGGGGTTCATCAACTTTGTCTTTATGCACTGAATCTGTTTTTTATGCTCTGTCCTCCAGCGCTGACACTGAAATGTTATCAGTGTTTACCTGGGTTGTCTGGAAAATGCACAGACACCCAGACAGACTGTCCAGATCAGTGTGCCAGCAGGACCACTACTGTGTACGTAGGTAAGAATGACCTAAATTTCACATATGTATCACATACATTTAAGACTATGTGCTATATATGGTATATATATATTTCTGGCTATGTATGTATAATGTAAAGTCCTTAAATAAATAAATAAATAATTTAAAAATGGTACATGTGTGTGTATATATATATATATATATATATATATATATATATATATATATATATATATACACCTTCAAACAGTTGAAAACACTGCTGAGCTGGTTTGTGTTTAATATGAGCCCAAATATTCTCTGTAAGGTTTGAATCTGGACTCTGATCAGCCCAAAAACACCAGTACAAACCATTAGCGTTTTGGACTTGGTTACATTAAAGCATGTGCTGTGTTCACTAGGTGGTGTACAAACGGGAGACATTACTGTGAAGAGCTGTGCAGTAGCTGGGCAGTGTGTCACTGGGAGCCGAAACCTGGGACTTGTGAAAACGACTGTCAACTCGAAATGCTGCAGCAGTAACCTCTGCAACAGCTACAAAGCACCAGGTAAAGCCAAACACTTTGAATACAGGACGCTGATTATAAAGGTTCTCTCTTGTTTTGTTCCATTCAGACAGCCCATTTCAGCTAAAGCTAATCTAAACAATCAGTAGTGCTTCATTTTCAGGAGGTTGATGTGATATCCAGTAAGCAGTAGCTCTGGGTTTAATGTGTTTTGTGTTTTCATGCACTGAGCCACAGAAAAGATGATGCTCAAACTGTTTCTCTCTAAAGTTTTGCCAAAAGGCTCTCCAAATGGGAGGAAGTGTTACACTTGCACTGATGACGACTGCTCAAGAACCGTGAACTGTGAGGGAGATGAGGATCAGTGCATCAGCGCCAGAGGTGAAAAATCTGAAAAATGCACATCTGTGGATCTAAAATGTTCCTCCATTTTTCATCTAAAATAAGGACGTTCATTGATACATTGATATATTCATCTGTCTAACGTCTCTCTCCCTCTGGCCTGCATTCACAGTTCATTCTGGTGGTGCTCAAGTGTTAATGAAAGGATGTGCGAGCAGAAGTCTCTGCACTGCGGACAAATGGAGCACGCAGGCAGCTGGAGTCACTGAAGATGTGACCTGCTGTGAGGGGAACCTGTGTAACAGTGCTGAGGGGGTTAAGCTGAGTCTCCTCATCATGCTGGTTCCTCTGATCTCCTCCATCCTCTTCATCTGAACTTTCATACCATTTTTCTTTTCTGCCTTTAAGACTAGCAGAGCTGTGTATTACAATGTGTCCAAATGCAGAGTCTGAATTGTAATGAAGATTTTGTAACCTGAATAAACTGAGTGCCGACTGTAAGTGGTCCAGTGTATTTACACTGTTACGAGCAGAAAAGGAAACAGACAGGGAACAAACTTTATATATTTAAATATAGTTTTATAATCTTCAGTGCTCTGTGAACTACCAGTGGTTCATCAGGTCTGAAAGCCACAAATATCAGCTTTGTGACACATTAGATGAACGAAGACAGTAAACTTTCAGCCTTGAGCATTTCAGATTGTGTGTACTGTCGATGTATGTCATTTTTAAGTAATCAAATAAGTTTAGTAAACATGCTGGAAGAGACTACAAATTCAGTTTTGCAGTGTTAAATGAAAATTATAAAATTTTAAATTTTTTTGCATTTAGTCACTTTTTGTCCGGGAAGTAAAACGTGAGCACACAGCTTTTACATGTAGGACCCTGAAACCCACATGGCAAACACAAGGCCCACAAAATGATTTGAATTTTCTGTTGATATTAACCTGTTTCACAATGCACTGCATTGCAATCCCAACCCACACTGTAACAGAACGTGCGCTTCTCCTCTCTCCCCCAACATCAATCTAGGGGACAGCAGTGACGGCACAAAGAGATTCCAGGTGTCTAGTTGAAGGAAATAGGCAGCTGTAGATGAAACCCTATTAATGGTGTAATATTTCCATGTCTACCACAAGTGCTTATATTTTACTGTTGAGTTTTTGGTATATTTTGAATAAACGATTGTCAGTTTGGTAATAGCGAAACATTAAGTAAAAGACGTTCTCTGGCCCACAGATCTGTTTTATTTTTTAGATTTTTAATTATGGCCCTTTTGACGCCCCTGATTTAGAACGTACACTCTTGGGCAAAAACATGGCAAAAAAGTAAGCTTTTCATGCTCTTAACAACAAATAATCAAACAAATAAATAAAGTAACCTAATATGGTATGTAAATTTGCAGACAGCCTTACAGAAAGACGAGTCGATATTATTTCCCATCGGCATTGAAAGAAAAACACTCCTGAGCTGGTTTGTGTTTAAGGTGAGACCAAATATTCTCTATAGGTTTTAAATCTGGACTCTGATCAGCCCAAAAAATATCAGTAAAAAATATCATATTTTTGGATTGGTCCAGTTTTTTTCTACATTCATGTAAAGTGTTTCACCCACAAAGCAGACAGCAGTATCAGATCATTCCACACTAAGGGAAAGGAGCTGACTGCTGCTCACATATTACAGCAATTTAATATCATAGTGTATTTACTATGTAACTGTATTAACACTATAATGTTGTGACTGCACTGTTATAGTCCATAAAACAACAATAGCCATATCAAAATGAAGTGACTAGACTGCGGTAGTAGTAAGTAGAGTAGCTTCTGCTACCGAAATTGTATGTGTGTATTATCTGGGAAACACAAGGTCATATCAGTATCTGTCAATATGAGTATTAAAGTAATCAAACATGATAAATTGTCCCTAACTTATCATTTATCAGGTCTATTACTCTTATTTATTAAGATTACTGAGTGCTGGCTCTCTATTAGTAGTAGTACAGTCAATAGACAGTACAGTAGTACAGCTTTAGAATAACCTTCAGTAAGTGTTCGGGGCTAGAAAACCTAGTGCAGATGTGGGTGTTTGTGGACATAGAGAACCAAAATGAGCTGAGATGCTGGTGCTCATACTTTAAATATATGAGTGCTGACACTCCATTGAAATTGCGTTCTAAGTGAATAGGCTTTTGCCAAATGGTACACACGCGAGTGAAAGGAACAACGTGCTGCAGGAATATTTTGTTATATTACTTTTTATTTGTGCCCAGCTTTTATTTAGGCTTGACTCTGTATCCAGAGTACTGGAGAAAGGAAATATGCCTTTTAACCTTTGTCACAGCCATAGCTGTTACAGAATCACGCCAGGGTTATAAATCAGGATATAGCCTTGGATGACGGTAGCTCACACTTCCTGACTCATTGTTTTAAGAACTAAATGCAGTCCAACTAAGCATGAACAAAGCATCATCGGAACCACAGCTTGCTCTGATGCCACACTTTGCTTATTTACAATGGCAGCCTGACAAGCAGCAGAAGCTTGTTGAGGGACAGAAAAACACAAATGAGCGATAAAAAGACAAGAACAATGAAAAAAAGACAAAAAACAGTTGTAACAAAAACATCATAGGCCTAAAATAATTAAGAGAGAAGCATCTAGCAATAAAATGTCCTTTCAATAGTTCTCTAACTTAAAAATTGACATAAGTGAGAAAAGAAATTTATATTTTCTTGTAGTGTGATTCAATCTTGTGCAGCAGCAGAATGAAATGATGAGGGGAGAAGTTATCCTGCAGTACAGATTCAGGGGAAGAGTCAGTGTATAGGATAGAATCAGCATATAAATGAATGAAAGCATCATCAGCAGTAAGGAGAGTGTAGCAATATATACATGTACACTATTATACTGTCATCTGAAATAGGTCATTTCATAAAAGGAAGCACGGCATGTTTCAACCCATCATGTATAACAATTGTGCAAAAAACATGGTGGACGGTGGGCAGTGCTGCAACACTGCATGGACAGTTGTGCAGATTTCCTGGTTATGAACATTTGACTTTAGGTCTGTCAGTGAGATGTAATCAGAATGTACAACTGTATGAGAACAATGAGGGACATGAAGCCTAGAGTAGAAAAAATATTATGAAATTTTTTACACACCATAAAGGGAAACTGGAATTGTGATAAAAATGGAGATAGAAGGTTTCACTGACAGCGATGATATACTTCAGAAGTGTGTGGTTTGTGTGTTGTTATGTGCAGAGTATATTTTAGTCTAAGTCTAATTAAGACTATGTATTAGACGTGGCCTTAAATTTCCTTAAAATCCACCTTGTTTCTCCGGCAGGGGGTGCTGTTAGCTCACAAGTCTCTTTAGTGTTTATCCATTGGAGAAGAAACAGTCATGAACTTCAGCATCATCTAACAAACGGGCTGTATAAAAATTACCTTATGGTAAAAATTACCCGAACTGACTTTTCATTATTGACAGTGTGAAGCTTTATAAGCAGAATAATTGAAATGAGTCTTTATTTCACTGATTAACTCAATGACAAATTTATGACTGAAGCAATTGTATAAGTAATTCTTTAGCATATGTCAAATATGCTAACAAAGCTGTATTTTTTGGTGCTAAGGCAATAAATGGTGGTCAAATGGCATAAAATAAAACACAAAATGTGGCCTGGGCAAATGATATGGCACATTTTAGAGTTTACATTTTTTGTTTGTGATATGTTAAACTCAAATAAAAATGGTGCATTAAAATATGCAGAAAACATGGCATATTTAAGTGGGTTCTCTGTACAGGACATGTTAACATGTTTACAAATAGAAAATCTACAGTACATGTAATTTGACATTTACCTAATGTTTAATGATCTGGTTGCCAGTGAACGCTCACATTTGTGGTTTGGTTTAAATTAAAAGCTGATTATTGTGATTATTTTTATTTGTTGCTTTTGTGACCCCCCCAAAAAATGTGTTCACAATAATTTGTTTCTTTTTACATGTATTTATCATTTTCTTCATCCATTTTACCCGATACCTGTAACAGATTCATGGGGGCTCGTTCGGAATCCACTTGTACAGTACAGAGCTGATCCGTTGGTCTTTGAGTGGCAGTTTTCAGTGTGAGGTCTGTGCTGAGATCTGGAGCTATGAGTGGGCAGCTAGACAAGCAAAGGTGACCAAGTGAGAGGGGGATCCTAGCTGGCAGAGTGCACCACAGAAGGCAAAGCACAAAGTTTTCACGAAAATGAAATTGTTTGAGGTGTACTGCAAATCATCAAACCTGGCCATTTTAAAGATATGTTAATCGAAAAGCTTCATGCAGTCCCATCTAGGCCAGAAAAACAGCCCAGAACACAGCGGAAACTGTCTCTTGGTACGTGGAATGTAATCTCACTGGGGGGAGAAGGAGCCGGACCTTGTTCGGGAGGTTTAGAAGTACCGACTAAATATAGTTGGGCTCACCTCCAGCCACAGTTTCGGTTCTGGAACCAAACTCCTTGATAGGGGTGGGTCCCTCTCCAACTCAGGAGTTGCACAGGGTGAGAGGTGCTGGGCGGGTGTAGGGATACTCACGAGTTCCCGACTGGCTGCTGTCCAGTTGGAGTTTGTCCCGGTGGACGAGAGGGTCGCCTCAATGTGAACTAAAATGCCAGGGAGGAAAACTCTGACTGTTGTGTGTGCTTATGCACCAAACAACAGTTCGGAGAATCCGGCCTTCTTGGAACGAGTGAGCAGGGATTTATAAAGGGCCCTGCCTACAGACTCCATAGTCTTGCTGGGAGACTTTAATGTTCATGATGGCAATGACTGGAAGACCTGAAGGGGGTGATTGGAAAAAACAGCCTGCCCGATCTAAACTCAAATGGCGAATTGTTATTGGACTTCTGTGCCAGGCATGGACTGTCCATTAAGAACACCAACTTCGAACACAAGGATGTTCATAGGAGTATGTGGTACCAGAGCTCCTTGGATGAAAGGTCAATGATTGACTTTGTTGTTGTTTCATCCGACTTGGGACTATATGTTCTGGACAAAACCTCCATTCTGGAAGCTGCCAGGCATAGCTGTGGCCAAAAGCTTGTTGATGTCTGTCAGGGCGGTAACCCAAGAACCCCCTGTTGGACACTGGTGGTGAGGTCGTCAAGCTGAAGAAAGATGCCTTTAGGGACTGGATGGCCCAAAGGGCTCCTGACTCAGCAGATAGGTACCAACGGGAAAAGAGGCGGCAGCAGCAACAATGCCTCAAGCAAAATCCAGGCATGGGAGGAGTTCAGTGAGGCCATTCAAAAAGACTTTCGGTTGGCTTCAAAGAGGTTCTGGACAACAATCTGGCAACTCAGGAGTGGTTGGGGTGGCTTTGCCCAAGCCGTATTTGGCGGAGGTGGAGAAACTTTGACTTCAAATGAGGATAATGTCGATCAGTGGAAGGAGCACTTTGACCAACACCTTAATCTGGTGGAGGTCTCTGAGGTAGTTAGCAAGCTCCTCAGTGGCAAGTCTCCAGGGGTGGATGAGATTCACCCAGAAATGCTTAAGGCTCTGGATGTTGTAGGGCTATCGTGGCTGACACGCCTCTGCAGTGTCGGATGGACCTCGGGAACAGTACCCTTGGACTGGCAGACCAGGATAATGGTCCTTAATCTTAAGAAAGGGGACCGGAGGGTGTGTGCCAACTACCAGAGTATCACTCTGCTCAGCCTCTCTGGGAAAGTTTGTGCTGTGCTGGAAAGGAGGCCGATAGTTGAACCTCAGATTGGGGAGCAACAATGTGGATTCCGTCCCAGCTTTGGAATTATGGACCAGTTTTTCACCCTCTTGCAGATTGTTGAGGGGGCATGGGAGTTTGTCAACCCAGTCTTCATGTGTTTCGTAGAGAAGGCTTACGACCGTGTTCCCCTGAGATATCCTGAGGGAGGTCTTCCGGGAGTATGGGGTGCTTGCGCTACGACTCCAGGCCACTCAACCTCTGTACTCCTGGAGTGAGAGTTGTGTCTGTATATTTGGTATTAAGTCAAGCTCGTTCAGTGTATGTTGGACTCCACCAAGGTTGTGCCTTGTCCCCTCTCCTGTTTGTGACATTCATGGACAGGGTGTCAAGGCATAGCTGAAGTCGGGAGGGCATTATGTGTGAAGAGTGGAGAGTGGCGTCTCTGCTATACGGATGATGTTATCTTTTTAGCTGAATCCCATGGATGCCTCCAGTGATCACTGGAGTGCTTTGCATTGCTCTCTTTATCTAAACTAAATGTGCTGAGCAAATGAACTGCAGTCAGAGACTTACAGCAGTAACAGTTAAAGGAACAAGTGTTGTTTTAATTATATTGAATATGTATATTATGGTAATCTCTATCAATGCCATAATGCTGTGTGCATGACACAAGTAATACAGAAAAGATAGATCAATTGTAATGTTTTATTTAAAATAACAAGGTATATAAATCTTTATAGGATGTATAATCACGTATGTATCAAATGTATTGTTCTCCTGTAAGGAAGACTGAATCATTCGAGAAGAGACACCAAAGGCAACACAACTATCTTTCTCCTGTGTCTTTATTTCTCCTGGTTATGCAGGAAATATCTGCCTACAGCATCTGTTGCCTGATAACTATAACACTTCATTGTTTGAAACTACAGCCTTTCAACATAATGTTTACAACTATATTTGGGGTTGGTTGCCACAAGTGCAAAGGAAATATTTTGAGGTGCAAAGCATAAATTGGGTTTTAAGGTTGAGGCTTAAATCGAGTCAAAAGTAGATTCCTTTACTCAGTACTGCACTTGAGTAGAAGTAAAAGTATTATGATTTGAAAATACTCAAATACATAAAAGTTTTACTTGAGCACATGCACCTCTAGGGTGTCCAGTCTTTTCCAGAAAGGGCCGGTTTGGCCGCAGCTTTTTATTCAAAACAATATGGAGCACAAGTGATTCTACACATTAAATCAGTTGGCTTCAGTCTTCAAACAGCAGCAAACCGGCCCCTCGATAATACGATTAGATTTGACACTTTATCACATTTGGTTTCAGCTCACTAACTCTGCACAAACTTGCTGTTTTCCAGACAAAAGATATGGTGAAATCAGCTGGAATGTAACTAGGCTTGTAAAGTTAGATGATAGATGATTATCATTCAGTATGTTTAGCATTAGGAGGATCTACGGGACATTTTTGTCGAGATTGAATTGTGTGCATGTAGTTAATCTTCTAGTACTGATTGTTGTTATTGATTGTGTAAAAAAGTAAGGTTCCTTCTTGAAGGTGGCATACTGAGTAGGCATTATAAGGTTCTATCTGCATCAGTCAACCTGTGCAGCTGATAAATGTGGGAGAACCACGTTTTAATTTCAGTTGAGATCAAGTCATGATGCAATGAGGGTATAGGAAGGTAATTTAAATGAATGCATGACTTCACTGGGCACTGAACACCTCCCATCTGTACCACCTCCAGTCTGAATCTCAACATTCAGAAGCTCAAAAATGATTCAAGACAAATCAGTGTAGAAAACTTGACACAAGGAAACTGAAACAACAGACCAGACTGCAGAAAGTAATGGCACAGGTGAGTAAACTTTATAATGGAAAGTTTAGTTTGAGTTTAATCAGTTCAGCTTCTCTAGAAAATAAGTTCACCAAGTTGCTGCGACTGTATTGCATATGCAATATTGTGTGTTAAGTTACTTAAGTTTCACCTTTGAGGATATTAATGTTTATTGCTCAGTTGTCCCTTGTTTTTCATTCCACTAGTGCTGACCCTGAACTGATCAGTGTATACCAGGCCTGTCTGGAACATGCACAGACACCCAGACGACCTGTACAAACCAGTGTGCCAGTACGACCGCTGTAGTGACTATTGGTATGAAAGATCTCAGAACAAAATGGTGAGTCTCAGTGAGAAATTTCTCCATTCACTCATGAGCTGTGCTCTCTAAGCGGTGTACAACAGGAGGTCAATATGAAAACTCGTGCAGTAGTAGCAGGGCTGTGTCTCAGTGGGAGCCTAAATGTGGGAGTTGTGAAAATGACTGTCAACTCACAGTGCTGCAGCTCTGATCTCTGCAACAGCCAGAAAGCACCAGGTACAACCAAAAGCTTTGAATGCTGAATGAAGAATGTTGCACATAAAGTTCTCAACGGCAGAACCACAGAAACTGTCCTGCTAAACCTCTTCTTTTCCTTTCGTTTTCCTGTTAAGCTTTGTCACAAGGGTCTGCGAATGGGAATAAGTGTTACGCCTGTGTTAACAATGACTGCACAGGAACTGTGAGGGGACTGAAGATCGCTGTGTCAGCACCACAGGTGAAAACTGCATACTTGTATATTTTTCTAAAATGCTATTTTATGAACAGTCATTTTACACAAGCATGATGCAACCTTTCTTTGTCTATTAGAATTGAAGAGAGCATTTTTAATACCGTCTTTAAGACTGATATACTATTGCCCTTGGAACAAAATCTTATATCTCTAAAATGGTAACTTATCAGGAGAAAGTCCGTTCACCTTGAAGTTAGAAGGAGCGTTTGTGTATAAATACATGACAGCAGGCATGTTTAGATTATCACTCAGGTTGACTGGGTGGAGCTTAACTGCTGTGGGCTGAACAGTCTGTTCTAACAGTGTAATTTCTATAGTGACTGTAAAATTAGGGAGTGAAATGTATGTTCTTAAACTTTAACAATCTTTACATTAACAATGTAAACAACAATGTTTACATCAACAACTTTAACAAAGTTTACATACGACAAAGTCGTTCAATTCAAGAGTTAGGAACACTATTTTTATTCCACGATGATCCTTTTATCTATGAATGATATCTCTCTCTTTCTGATCTCCACCTGCTTTCACAGTTACCACTGGTAGTACTGAAGTGAGTGTGAAAGGCTGTGCGAGCAGAAGTCTCTGTACTGCGGACACAGCAACCCTGCAGGCAGCTGGAATCACTGGAAGTGTGAGCTGCTGTGAGGGGAACCTGTGTAACAGTGCTGAGGGGGTGAAACTGAGTCTCCTCATCATGCTGGTTCCTCTGATCTCTGTCCTCTTCCACTGAACTCTCTGCTGCTCAAACACATTTTCACATTTTTATTTTCTTTATTTTGACACTAGCAAAAGTGTATTTATTACAAGATGACTAAATGGGGAGTCTGAAAGTTGTTTATAATGATGGTTCTGTAACCAAACTAAGTTGAATAAACAGTGTGAAGAGTGACTGATACAGTCTGTTCTCGTCTGATATACAGACCATTCTGCTGAATTAGTTCCACAGTAAGAAAAAAAACAACTACTTACAAAAACAGTTAAACATTCAGGCTATTAGATCTTCAGAAAGACTGTTATGATCTAGTTAAACACAAGGAATCTGTGTTTGGTAATAAGTTAAACATATAGAAATCATTTATAGGGTACTTTCTCTTGGGAGGGCTCTGTCCCAAACACTAGCCATGTTTTCATGAAGCCTAATAATCTGTTAAGAATCAGACTAATAGCTCAATCGGAATAGAATATGTCCGTAAGCCACCCGTATATACACCTCGATCGGAATAGACTAGTCCAATTGAGGTCATTTAGAATACAATTTCTATCCGATTGAACGAGATGGGAAATCCTGTAAATAATAACCATGTAAACGCCTGTATCTGATTACGTTCCCAATCGGAAGGTTTAAGTACATTCTGCGCATGTGAAGACTGCGACATTTATGCTCTGATCTTTAAAAGACGGCGGTGGGACGGGTGTCCAGTTTTATGATCAGGAAGTGAGACTGCATCCCTGTCCCTCATGGCCACATGGTGAGCAGTGAGATCCCATTGTTTTGAATGAATGTGTCCCAAAGTCTTGAAATCAGTGTGGAATGTTAATTCGATTCCCGGCTGGGCGACCGGGGTCTTTTCTGTGTGGAGTTTGCATGTTCTCCCCGTGTCTGTGTGGGTTTCCTCTGGGTACTCCGGTTTCCTCCCACAGTCCTAAAACATGCAGTCAGGCTGATTGGACATGCTGAATTGCCCCTAGGTGTGAGTGAGATTGTGTATGTCTGTCTGTCTGCCCTGCGATGGACTGGCGACCTGTCCAGGGTGTATCCTGCCTTCCGCCCAATGACAGCTGGGATAGGCTCCAGCACCCCACCGCGACCCAGAAGGATAAGCGGTTTAGATGATGTATCTATGTTTTGGTGACAATTTTATAGCTCATTTTGAGCAGAACTCAAACACGCTACTCAGTACCTGACTAGGAAACCCAGCTTTGAGCAGTTGTACAAACATAAAATCATAATATTTTGCATTAAAACACCAAAGTTTAATCAGAGAGTCTTTCGGTGGGGACAATTCTTAATGTTCCACACTTAGTTTCAGACTTTGTGACACATTTATTTCAAAACAATGGGGTCTAAGCCTCACTCCCTGCTTTCAAATGCAGGTTCCACATAATCCACATAATTCCATCTTTGAGGGCTTTGCCAGAGACATTCAGGGCTTAAGCTGCCTAAGCCCACCCCTGGCACTGCACATGGCTGTAGCAGCTTTTTTTACATTTCACTCCTTTAAATTCAACCTTAAAAAAAGGTTGTTAGATTTACATGAAAAAAGAAAATACATCAGTTGCACATCATATAATTATGTTTACTCAAAACCCTTTTATTTGTTAAACCAACATGACTTTTTTACATTAATTTAAATCTTTTCTTTAATGCGAAGTACATTCAGTGATCATCCATTAAGCCAATGTGCCTTGCACTTGTAAGGTTGGTGCGCTATTTCTTTACATGCTATTTAGTGTGGTGGTATGCGGTTTGGGACGCCGCCCTCGTCTTCACTGTTTGGAGAGGTCACACTCCCAAATGAAAAGCTGGCGAACTTTAATGAACTCCACGCAATCAAGTCATTTGAGCCCCCATGGTGTTACTCACTCTGCAGGCAAAACTCGCTGTGCTCGTTATTAACAATCTGAGCTGAGTCCTGATGGGTTGACTTTCAGTTTTAAAGGCAAGAGAAATGTGACTCATGCTACTATCAGCAAGCGAATCTAGCTTTGAGTGTAGGACAGGATATTTGTGATGTAGATGCCTCAAACTTCTGCTTCAAACTCAACACAAAAGGCTTCAGTTCTTTATGACTGTTCTGTTCTGTAGATGTTTCTCTACTGATCATGTTCCATTGACCGCAGTATTATAAAATTGTTGTGTCATTTCATTAATGTTATGTTAGAAGTAAAAACACAGCCACACTATGTTCTACTATAATTTCATTTTGAATCTTAAAAGTGCAATAAAGGACTTAAATAGTGAAATATGTCATTATTATGCAGTGTTTTGTTTAAGGTGATGTGATGCTGATGTAATTTGACATCTGATTTAGCAGCCAGGCTACCACTACTTCATCACATGAGCCAGGTAGACCTGTGCTTGTGCTTGTTTTGTAAGAGCAGTCAGGATTAATGCAATGCGAACCTGCAAATCACTGCTGTCGGAAGAAAACCTCGTATCTCCATTTTTGTAGTTTTTCATTTTTTTAATAGTTTGAAAATACCTGT